AAAATTTTTGAAAGTCTAATTCATATTGAACTTTTAAATCATATTAATAGTAATAATGTTATGCATCCTGCTCAACATGGATTTACACAAGAAAAATCAACAATCTCTGCTTCACAAGAAATAACTAAATTAAGTCTTCTGAAAAGAGAAACAGAAAATACGGCAATAGTAACAGTGGACATCAGCGGAGCTTTCGACAACGCATGACATCCGGCAATTCTCCAACAATTGGACAAGGCAAATTTTCCAGCGGTACTTATAAAAATAATTAATTCTTACTTTGAAGACCGGAGTGTAGAGTTTAAATATACTAATGTAAAGTGTATAAAAAAGATAAATAAGGGATGTCCCCAGGGTGGTATTATTTCTCCTATTCTTTGGAATATATTACTTAATGATTTCAACTTATCTTTTAACGAAAGTTTTGCTAGAGTAATTGCTTTCGCGGACGATGTGACATTTGTGGTATGGAGTTCAAACATCTATGATCTTCAGTATAATATTACCAAATGTTTAATAAAAATCAAAGCCTGGTGTGAAAAGGTAAAACTTTCACTAAGTCCAAACAAAACAGGTATACTCTATCTACATAACTATGAAAAATTGCCCATTAATTTTGATGGAAAAATAATTCAACCATCAGAAACTGTTAAAATTTTGGGAGTTATTTTTAAAAATCATAGACAAAGGAATAAGATTAATTTTGGAACACATGTTGACAATATAATTATGAAAGCTACGAAACTTAAGAATATATTATTCTCATTATGTGCACGTACTTGGGGCATTGATACTCGACGTAGATTGATCTTATATAAAGCTATGATACGCTCTACAATAAGCTATGCATCAAATATTTGGTTTCCTTTTATCACTGCAGCAAAAAGATCCAAGTTGAAAATTCTATACAATATCAAATTCATATTAGATGCATTCATGCTTATAGGACTTCATCTTCTTACATCACACATATACTAGCGAAAACCCCTTTACTGTCCGATTATCTTGAATTATTACAAACAAAGTATAATATGACAAATTCTCTCACAGATCGAACACTCAAAAACCCCTTCAAAAAGAATTAAACAAACTATATCTGGATCTAAAATTTAAGTTTTATCTTTCTCAATCTAATGAACTGTTCAAGAAATTCTTTCCAATTGCTGTCCCAAATTTCATTTCTTCTGATAAATTCACTACTTTATTCTTAACTGGCAAAGGACCCTTCTTAAGTTTCCTATTCAAACTGAATGCTATCAATGATCCAACATGTGAATGCCGCTTAGATGTTGAATCACCAGAGCATCTTTTATCTTGCCCTCTGACTAATCAAATTGTATGTAGATACTTAGAAACATTACCAAATTCTCTTTGTGTATATACTCTATCTTATGAGAACTTTGTTAAGTTTAGAACTATTTGTACAATAATTTACAAAACAATACTAATCCATCGTGTAAATAATTAATCATATATATGTAAATAATACTAGCACAGCACAATAGTCCTTTGGACTTCGTGCTTTTGTAACAATAAATAAATAAATAAAATAAATAAGGGGACATAGCGCTCTAAGTCGAAATATTTTTTTTAAAGTGGTATATATGAAAAAAATCTATTTTGAATAATACTAAAACTAAAAATTAATGCATATATAAAAATATGTTCCATATAAATCAATAAATATATTTATTCGATATTAATATTAATAATAGCTTCTAAATGAGCAAATTAGAATTTCAAACAACGACAATTATTTTTAATTAAAAGCAAACAAAAAACTAGAACGCATTTTATCGGAAGGTAATTTCAATTTAATCAAAAATAGACCACCAAATACTAAGTAAATAAATTTGTATTTTAATTTGTTTAAAATTGATAATTGCTACCCTTACCTTGGTAGATTTAATTTTGACTAGTTTTCCTGAATAATTTCTGTCAAAAGAATCCAATTAAATAATCAAAGCGACCGTGAACAATCTGGGTAAGCGGAACAACTTTATTTATTAAATTAAAATGTGCGTTTTTTTCTGAAAGAAATAATAATGAATTAATAAATGGAAGTCATCACGAAAGTCTTTTCCTTTTTTCAGAGTTAATATAAGGAAGATTTGTGTACTTTCTTCAAATATTGATCTTTTTTAACGTTTATTTGAGTATATTTTTCAACGTTATTGCCCATTTAAAATAAATTCTTTTTTTTTTTGTGGGTCGGTGTTTTAAAAGAAGAGAAAAATAAGTGATTATATAAATATATGTTTAATTTTAACTATACACATTTGACAATATAATAACAACGGCACACAGCGGTAAAACAAAGGCAGTCTAAAAGTATAAACAAGGAAGAAGACTGACGATTGAGGTGGGCCATTCCCATTGGTCAGTTTATTTTCATGCAACGCCCGCGTCCACGCTTCTCTCTATCATTTTTCTGCTGCAAAACGTTGATGAGCTTCCGTGAAAGTCTTACCTATTCTCGAAAAACGTCTGTAAATAATCGCTACAGAATTAAACCTCCTAAAAGAGAGTTCTCTCTTTATTGGAGCATTACCACGGATCATTTAAATTTGCATCTTGTGCTTGCTATAACACGTTGACACTCTTTGAGATTCATAAATACCAGGCAATAGAATTCTATCTATATTTAAAATACGACCATTTTATCACGAAATAATCTACAAATAAAACGTTTACTACTGTTCTTACTGCAATGGAAACATTAGGAAGGCTTGTCTCATCAGTAGTGAACTCTCACAGCTGTTTCACCTATTTTAATCAACCATACTGCTATGAGATTGCATCCTATACTTAATATTATATTGAGCTATTCTTTAATTAAGGTGACAGATTCAGGAGATGAGTTTATTTCCATTTTTTATTGCAATCTTTAAGATTTCGGGTATTACCTATTTTCTACAGGAATTTTATTTTGTTCATTTTTGTATCCCTGTAGAAGGGTAGTAATACCTGAAAGCTTGAGATTGGAATACAAATTAGAATAAATTCATCTCAAAAAACATGTTACCTCATTTAATTCATATACAGGAGATTCACATCTATTGAATTGAGCTATTCTGCTTTTAGAGGCGTTTTATTATTGTTCATTTTTGTATCCCTGTAGAAGGGCGGTGTTGGAGCTTGGTTCCTGACAATGTTAGCCAGGACTTCCTTTCGCTCCTTCAGCCTCTAGTCTGGTCTCAGGTGATGACGATATGTGGCAGAGCTTATTGATGACTGTACTTTATGAGACCAGACCGGCGGATTGACTACCGAGAATGTTGTCCCTTCGCAAGACTGCGATGTAGCAAGCTGTTTGAATAGAGGAAGGACGCCTCACTCGTTTTAGCTAACTGACTCACTTTATTGAATCTTTCACTCATTTTATATACATATATATTTACATAATTAAAAGAAAGGAAGAAAAATTTACATGATTATAAATCAATGCAGCCTAGCAAGTTATTTACATAACTAGGCGCAAACAGGCGGTGATGCCCGAAAGCTTGAGATTACAGTAAAAATGAAAAGAAACACACATCTGAACAAACCTGTTGCCTTATATAATTCATATAAAGGATATTCACATCTGTCGAATTGAGCTATTCTACTTTTAACGGCGTTTTATTTATTGTTCATTTTTGTATCCCTGTAGAAGGGCGGTAATGCCCGAAATTTTGAGATTGTAATACAGATGAAAATAAACTCATCTCCAGAACTTGTATCGCACTTTAATTCACATACATGAGATCCACATCTAGTGCATTGAACTATTGTACTTTCAAAACTGACACTTGGAAAGAATTCTTTGTTGACGTATGTAACAATTCTATCAACATAAGCTCATATGACAGTTGAGAAAAAATATACATTTCAAAGCCGTTTAGTTTACCTAATAAACAAATAATATATTAAACACTAATATACTGTACATAATATCTTAATGTATATAAGGTTGTTCTTGAAAATAAATCAGGAAATTCTTCAAATTCACGACAAACGTAGGCTATTTTCGAATCAGAACGATGCATTTTCACTGTTATTAGAAACTAGCCGAATGACCCGGGCAACGCCCGTGTTTTACCCGATTGAATGTTTTTATTCAAATACTATTTGTTACAATTGTAAGTTTGGCGCCTTTAATAAATGCATATATTAGTTAATAACTATAGCCTATGTGCTTTATCTGTCTTTGTACTGTTGGCTTCCGTAGGCGTCTCATACTGGGAAAAGGAAAGAGAGGATTACATTTAGTTATTAACTAACATATGCATTTATTTAAAGAGCGACGCGCTCCAACACAATAGTTACAAAGACGAAATAGCGATTGGGGGGGGGGGGGGGGGGGAGGGAAGGTGGCGTGTTCGTAGCCAACCAATAGGAGAGCGCCATTCCAAAAAAAAAAGGCGAGTGGGGGGGGGGGGTAGGGGCATGAATGTGCAAAGGTGGCGTGACCGTAGCCAACCAATAGGAGGGCGCCATTCCAAAAAAAAAAAAAAAAAACGGTGACAGAGATGAAAACTGATGACTGATTGTTGATTAGGTGATGAGGAATGACGCTCGTAACTGTATATACAATATTTACTAGTAGTGATAAAGAATGAGAAATAACACCATATCTAGCAAAAACACCCGAAAGGCCAACCTGAATACCTGTATTACTTGGCTGATTAACATATTGCATCGTTTTTTAAAATTATTATGATCCCTATTACACGTGGTACAGGTCATGATAATCATGGTGGGTAGAAGTTGGCTTCTGCCCTTAGTTTAAATGTACCATATATCTCCACATGTGGAAATCAGTTCGACTTTTGCACTTACAAATTAACCAGAGCCCCGTTTGGTTACTTGCACACGCCGGGGGGTTGGACTTTTGCAAGAATCGAGGGACATTGGCTCATTTCATTTATTAGAAAAAGTGTACAACGCGGGATTCGATCCCGAGTCGTAGCGGTCGAAAACCAACGGTTTAGATCACCCTTCCATCGACCCCCAAAATCTTTCCACACCGGGATTCGAACACGGGCCTTCTGGGTGAAATCCAGATATCCAAGCCACTAGATTAAGTAAGACTTTTATAATGCCTTGTTCTGATGCCTAATTAAAGGAAGTAGTGCTCTTCTAAGTAAATATGAATATCTTCCTCTCTTAACATATATAGGAAATAAAAAAGGCATATCCTGACCAGGAGCACATGTGGAATATTGGTTTCTCAAGAAGCCACTGGGATCAAAAATATTTTTGGTCGCAGTGGTACAGCCTACTCCACGCTGACGAGCGCCAACAGCGCGAAACTTGTTCATGGATGGCTTTTCTTGATTTATAAAAAAATAGGGTTGGCCAAATATCAGGGAACAGGCTAAATCAATGATTAGTTGATTTCTGTTCCACCAGATGGCGCTTAAGATTGTACATACCGAACCTAACAAATTTATAAAATAACTCGGAAACATTTTGAACTGGCGAAACCGCTGAGAGGGTTTACCACTGATGCGCCAGGCCCTCCTATTAATTTTTTACATTGCAGTAAGTGCAGTAGAAAATGTTTTATTTTTGAAAGAATCATACGTGTCTATAATAGTTTCGAAGGAAACATTTTCTCTGAGTGTAGACCTGGACATCAATTTTAGTTGCGGGATCTTCAAACTTAGCCTACAAATTCCTTTCATAAGAACAAGACAAATAAAATTAACGACAAAAAATCCAAGATTTTTTTAAATATAGCATTATCAAAATTGTTTTTAAAGCGTATTTTTAAATTATTATTTTTTAAAGATAAATGGGACTTTAAAGTACAATTGCGTTACCTATTTTTATATAAAAATAAACCAATGTTGTACTACTAGTTAATTGAAACAAATTCCATTTTACACCTTTCTTCACAGACTTCGCTTATTAAGGATATTTGATAAGCTCAACAATAGCTTTGATAAAATAAAAAAAAGAACAAAGTAATAAAATAATACGATATAATATAATGCGACTTGTGATTGTAAAACGACATTCGAAAAAAAAATCCTGCATGTGTTTTTTTTTTTTTTCAACGAAAAATCAAATTTTTAGTTTAAAGAGAAATAACTATTAATTCTAACCTTAGGGATTAGGTATGAAAGGATGAATTGAGAAAAGTGATGATACACAGACGCCATTTATTGACCGTCAACGCAAAATAGCGGTTTCGGTTCTTTGACAAACTCACCTGAGATCCCCAGTTTGAGCGAAGGTCAATAGATGGCGTTTAGGTTTGAAGGGAGATGTGACCTTTGATTTTATTGATCAATATTCTCCCGTCAAATTTTCCAAAAATATATACTAATTTATATTTTTAATTAAAATATTAAATTAAAAGGTTCTATATACAATAGAACCTCCCTGTAAAGGATACTTAATTGCAGAGGCAAAGTATCCTTTAGGAAGAGGTGTCCTCTTACAGGAGAGTTGCTAAATTGTAAAAAATTGTAATTTTGCAAATGAAAAATGTCCTTTGTGGAGAGGTGTCCTCTAGCGGGGTCTCCGTTGAAGAGAGATTCTACTGTACTTTATTTAGAAATAAATAAAAATGACAAATCATGAATATCGGAGAGAGAAATAATCCGAGAAATTGAGATTTGATTAGAGAAAAATCAATAGGAACAACAAAAGAATAGTGGAAAGAAAAAACAGAAGGCTGTTCGCCAGATAATGACCGTTTTAATTGATTGGGCTCTAATTGTCGATATCTTTGTAAAAACTGAATGTTTAGCTTTAAAATACAATCAATAAGTGTTCAATGAACTGATTGAAGCATTATCTAAATTCTCCGAAAGTGACTCTTCGTTGATCAAACAGCTATATTCAGTATTAGCGTATCCACTTTGCTGCAGTAGTATGAAATGTTGAAAAAACCCTTTTTTTTTTCTTATCCCAAGTAAACGTGGTACAGGCCATGATAATCATGGTGTGTAGAAGTTGGCGACTTCTTTTACTGTAATTGCACCAGAGGTGAAAAGCAGTTAGACTTTGTACTTAAAAATGTGCCAGAGCCCCATTTGGTTAATTGCACTCGCTGGTGGGGGGTGGATTTTTCAAGAATCGGGGGACCAATGGAGAATTTTTTCTTAATCAAAAAAAGTACCAAATGCGGGAATAGAACCCGATTCGTAGCGGTCAATAATCAACGGTTTAGACCATCCTTCCACCCATCCAGTGAAAATTATCTTTGAATATGTAGTGTGTGTTTATATCACAAATAAATAAATTTTTTTAATATTTTAATTTAACCAACTTTTCAAACATTTTTTTGCGCTTTGTATTTTGGGTGAAAAATATATAGTTTAACATTTCTTTTACATACATATAATTTGTTATTTTTATTTTATTTCTTATACGAAAAATCTTTTAACACATAGTACAAATAATTATAAATATAAAATAGGCGTTATTGTTAATTTTCAAAATATTCACATCCATATTTTACAAAAAAATATTTTGCCCATAATATAAATATATATATCAAATATTTTCTCCCCATTGAATATAACAAAATATTTTTAAAACTCAATTCTGTTGATGTTATGTTGCGCTGAGTTTGTTGTTGACACACATTAAAATAAAACAAGGCAATAACGCGCCATCTATACATATAAAATAAAAGGATTCAAAAGCGCGAATGTTTCTTTTATACAAATACAAACTTCTACTGTCCTTACTTCGATGAAAAATATATATTGGGAGGGCTTGGCTCATCAGTGGTGAACCCTCCCAGCGGTTTCGCCAATTTAATCCACCAGACCGCTTCTCAGAGCTCTAATACTGTATTGGATCATTCTGCTTCTATATGCTACACTGAAGGATGGAATCTTAGAAATGGTTTTCAAGTAAACTATGGACATAAGCTTATAAGACAGTAGAATTACATTTGAATATTTGCATCGAGCAATGCTCTTCAGCAAACTATAAAGACAAGGCCAGTTAGGCATAAATTAACACAAGGCAATAACGCGCCATCTATACATATAAAATAAAAGGATTTGATCTGTGATATATTATTACTCTACTCTGTATTATTTATCATCATCTTGTAAACAACAATATACGTATAATCGAATTGTAAAAAGAATAAAATAATTATAGTAGCTTAAAAATAGTGTATCTTTCATTTATCTACAGGGTGATCCAAAAGTCCCGCACAACTTTAAAAATTAATAACTCCGCGAATATTCGCGCTAGAGCAATGCGGTAAACACCATTGTATTCAGGATGCAATGGGATTTTTTATGGCAAATAATGTAAAATTCGAAATTGATTTTAGTTACAATTTTATTCGCCAGATGGCGCTCTACCAGAATCAGAGATTCAGCGGCCAAATTGTTTGATAAATTGAAAAATATAACTGATCGACACGTATTTTTCCTTTTTGAATACCAGGAAAGAACCCTAATAATATCAAATAACAAATTAATAAAACACCACTTCGCCAAAAGTATGAAGAATTGGTTAACGATTTTCAAATACAATCAGAGATATGTAAAATAGGTAAATGCAAATTAAAACATGTAGCAAAAAGAAAATTGATATTTTAGATACGGTTTGTTTCCGAAGATAATAAATTTCTAATATTTTTAATTCTACTCTCACTCAGTATCGATTATATTTATTTTAATTCATTTGAAAAATATGTATCTATCTCTGATAATTTATTTTACTCTGGAATGCCGTTGTTGTTGTCGTGTCCAATAAAGAGCCTCAGATGTACCATGCATCTCCATCACATTAGCAGCAATGTCCACTATCTTGGGTGTGTAAAGCTGCTGCTCTGGGTCTATGTCAAATTTCTGCAAGGCTGCGGCCATTTCTGGACATGAGAATATGTGGGTAGGTGTAAGTTCCACACCAGGACAATTGTTGCATGCCCTATAGGTTCTTGTGCCATCTGGATGTATTGTCATTCCTTTATAGTGTTTTGTTCTAAGTCTTGTTATAGTTTTTGTCATTTTTCTCTCAGAGTTTATTTCGCATTTTGATCTTTTCTTATTTTTTTGTTTAATTATCTTGTATTCTGACAAAGAATCAGCGTCAAATAAAGACATTTGTTCTTTCCTTTGGCTCAACTTTCTGGCTTCCTTTGCCAATTCAAATGCCATTTCATTACCCCCGATCCCAGCATGGGCAGGGATCCAATGTAGAATGCAGTTATTCTCCAATGGTTCCAGTTGGGTAAGTAACGAGTGTATTTTCTGTGTGATTTTAGTATTGCCCTTCTGAATTGCTTCTAGAGCGGATATGGAGTCGCTGTATATTAAAATTCCTTCTGCTTGATGCAGGGATGGTTGGTTAAGGCATACATCAAGGGCTTTCCAGATAGCTGTCAGTTCACAAGTGAAGTTTGACGAAATCTGTCCTGCTCCTTCTTTGATTTTGATGTTTGTTCCATCTTGCAGTATTATGTTAATTCCGGCCCCTCCATTACTCAGGGTAAGGTCTGAAGATCCATCTGTATAAGCTGTTAAAGGGCGTGGCCTAGCATTTTTAATCAATAATATGTACTATGAGGACATAGCCGTTAATATTCCAAACACATTAGACCTCGAAACCCAAGGTATCAAAGTCTACCTCAATCAAAACAAAGCCATCAACATATACAATATGTATCACCCTCCAAACAATACATTTATTGACGATGGAACAATGGCTCAATTTCTTACAGACAACACTATTATTTTAGGTGACCTTAATGCCAAACATCAACTATGGGGATGTTCTACGCCAAACCCAAGAGGCAAACTACTATCAAACATATTTGACGACAATGCCTTCATGTGCTTAAATGATGGGAATCCTACCCATCATTCCTACAGCTATAATACTGCACAAGCCCTTGATATAAGTTTTTACTATCCTGACATTTTCCACAAATGCAAATAGCAAATATTAAAAGGTTTTGAAAGTGATCATTTGCCTAATTTGATAGAAATTAGCACCAAGACCAAAACTAGCTCAATTAAGAAAAATTATGGAACTTCAAAAAGGCTAATATGATATCTTTCGAAAACACCATTATTAAAGCAGCCAAAGTTTCAATACCAAGAGGTTA